AATGTGAAGTATCAGCCTCGTCTTAATATTCACTTTGCTACAAACCGGCTCTGCAGATTTTACACATGAATGATGCAAAACTGGAACGAATCCAGTGCCTTTGTCTTCCCCCCGCCCCAAGAGCTCAGCTCTCGTTCTCTATCCATGGCAGAGAGCCGCTTTGCTGATTCCTAAAAGCGCTCCCTTATTTCCCCTCCTTTAGCTTGCAAGCAATGAGTAACCATTCTGAGAAAAACTTCTGCCTCTGGCTTTTGTCATGCTTTTTAATGATCTTTTAGCTTCCTGCTTATGCAGAATTAGCATAAGCAATTAATCAGAAGCCGTATTAACTAGTGCTAGCCACCCTTGGGCTGCCAAACTGGGGGTAGTGTTTCCTAAGGGTTAGAGCAAAGGTGGTCTGGGAGTCGGGACTCCTGGGTTCTATTCTTAGCTGTGCCATTGACTCGGTTTGCGACCTAGGGCGAGGACGGTATTGTCTGAGCCTTGTCTTACCTAGAAATGAGGTTGGGTTAGAACATGACTGTGAAGAACATAAGAAAGGCCGTACCAGTCAGACCAAAGGTCCATCTAGCCCAGTATCTTGTCTACCGACAGTGGCCAATGCCAGGTGCCCCAGAGGGAGTGAACCTAACAGGCAATGATCAAGTGATCTCTCTCCTGCCATCCATCTCCACCCTCTGACAAACAGAGGCTAGGGACACCATTCCTTACCCGTCCTGGCTAATAGCCATTAATGGACTTAACCACCATGAATTTATCCAGTTCTCTTTTAAACTCTGTTATAGCCCTAGCCTTCACAACCTCCTCAGGCAAGGAGTTCCACAAGTTGACTGTGTGCTGCGTGAAGAAGAACTTCCTTGTATTTGTTTTAAACCTGCTGCCTATTAATTTCATTTGATGACCCCTAGTTCTTGTATTATGGGAATAAGTAAATAACTTTTCCTTATCCACTTTCTCTACATCACTCATGATTTTATAGACCTCTATCATATCCCCCCTAAGTCTCCTCTTTTCCAAACTGAAAAGTCCTAGCCTCCTTAATCTCCCCTCATATGGGACCCGTTCCAAACCCCTAATCATTTTAGTTGCCCTTTTCTGAACCTTTAAGTTAGCTTAGTTAGCTTAACATGACTCTGCTTGTCTCTGCTGTTAGTGTAGCTAATGTCTCACCTCGACAGTTGATTGCGGGTCATCCTGTTTTGATCAGGGTACCCACAACCAACTGATGTGATGTTAAACATGATGTTCTCAATTTATGCAGAGTGCAGAGTCAAGTTGCCTAGCACGACTTGTCTGGGGCCACGTTCTCGGAGTTAATTTTGTCGCAGAAGTAACCCCGATGTGTCTCAGATGCTCGCTAGCTTGTGTTGGGAGGCTCTCCCGAACGGCACGCGATGCGCTTTGATATCAATCATGCATAGTCTAGCTCCTTGTGTCGCTGACAAACTCCCCATCCTTCTTTCCCACGTTACTGACCCGAAGCATTCAAAAATCCTGCAATTTTTTTTTAATTGTGATCTTAAATACAAGGGGCTTTTTTGTCTTTAGGGTCACATTTTCAAGCTTTTCTCGAGACCTTTAATTATTTATTTATGTTTTAAATGAAAGCCCAGTTTCTCTCTCGACTCCAGGACTTGGGGTGAAAATACACCCAATATCACGAAACTCATGGTAAAATGATGCAAAGCTGGCAACACTTAAACATGGCTTCTCTTCAGCTCCCAGCATAACCAGGGCCCTCTCCCTAGTCCTGAGAAAAGTTTGTTTTAGTATTGCTAGCTCTGCAACACAAGATGCTTCTATAGATCCTACATAAACTGATTTTTTGTTGTTGTTTTTTTCAAATTTCTCCCCATCAGAATGGTGGATTGAGAAATAATCGTGTCTTTTCTTTTTCCTTTTCATGAAACCCTCTGGGCTGTAACAATTTTGAGAGAACCCATGTGTTGGAGCTACATTATGAGTATCCATTTAACTTTCAAGAGCCGTCTTGCTGAACAAGTGAAGTGCATTCTAGGTGATTGGGCTGGCGCATGGTGTGGTTGGTTTTTTTTGGTCTTCCTGTGAAATATTACGCATTGGCCACTGTCCGATACACCCGACTTGATAAACCAGGGGTCTGATCCATTACGTCAGTTCCTAGGAGCTGGGTGTGGATGTGGGGAAGTGAAGCAAACTCCTGCGGTGGACTTTTTTTGTGTGTGTCTCTCCATCCCAATTTGGGATATAAATAGAGCCCTACCAAATTCATGGTCCATTTTGGTCAATTTCAGTCAGAGGATTTTAAAAATCATCAATTTTGTGATTTCAGATACTTTAAATCTGAAATTTCATGGTGTTGTAACTGTAGAGGTCCTGACCCAAAAGGATGTGTGTGGGGGGGGTTTACAAAGTTATTGTAGGGGCATCATGGTATTGCCACACTCACTTCTGCACCGCTGCTGGTAGCAGCGCTGCCTTCAGAGCTGGGCATTTGGAGGGCGGCGGCTGCAGGCCGGGAGCCCAGCTCTGAAGGCAGCGCCGCTATCAGCAGCAGTGTAGATGCAAGAATGGCATAGTATGGTATTGTCACCCTGACTTCTGTGCTGTTGTTTTCAGAGCTGAGCCCTCAGCCAGCAACCACTCCTCTCCGGCTGTCCAGCTCTGAAGGCAGCACAGAAGTAAGGGTGGCATGGTATGGTATTGCCACCCTACTTGTGCGCTGCTGCTGGCAGGGCATTGCCTTCAGAGCCGGGCGCCTGGCCTGCAGCTGCTGCTCTCCCAACTCTGAAGGCAGCACAGAAGTAAGGTTGGCAATCCCATGACCTCCCTACAATAACCTTGCGACTCCTCCGTGACTCCCTTTTGGGTCGGGACTCACAGTTTGAGAAACACTGGGCTGTCTCTTGGAACACCACATCTAATAAGCTATCTAGTCTGGGAGCCTGTCTAACATGCCACGCTCCAACCTTGCCTCAGGATAAAGCAGAGGCCCTGGAGGTTTTTCGCCTTCCTCCGCAGCATGGGGCAGGGGTCGCTTGCTGGAGGATTCTCAGCGATTTGAAGTCTTTAAATCATGATTTGGGGACTTCAACAGCTGAGTCAAGGGAGAGAATTATTCCAGGAGTGGGTGGGTCAGCTTTTGTGGCCTGCATCATGCGGGAGGTCAGACTAGATGATCATAATGGTCCCTTCTGACCTTAGAGTCTATGAGGATCTTAGCAGATATCCCAATTCCGGCACTTTGCTGGACAATCCTCTTCCAAGGTTGTATTCCGTTGGTAAACTGATTTGGGGCTGGTTGGGGGAATCTTGCAAATAACAAAGATGACAGTGACTGGGCCGCTAGAGGAGAAAATGACTCGGGGAATGTTTGACTCTGTACACCGCTCGCCACCTCTGTCCATGCTGCTGTCTCTCAAATCTTGATCAATATGATCTGTTCTTTTCTTCCAAAACAGAGGTCTGCGTGTCTGGCAGGATGTGCGCGCCTCCTCTCCGTTCGTGTTCCAAGTGTAATTATAGCCTACTCTGGAAGGCCCACTTAGCATCTCTGTAATTCTGGTGGTGGTTACACGATTGCTTATTTTGCAAGAGCAATGCCAAATCTCCTTGGGGCTAGAAAGTTCAGCTCTTGTTCCTAAGCAGGGCTGGCCAAATTCTTTGGAAGGAATAGTGCTCGTGCGTAGATCTAGCTACTTCTTAAGGTGATATCGTTTGGGGACCGGATTCCTCCTGTTGCGTTGGGGTAACTGTTCCCATGGTTGGGCCGAGCTGGCAGGCTGAGTCATTTGATAAAGGAGGTGGTTTTTAGGGCTGTGTGTCTGTGCGGTTAAATAAACTCTAAAAGTCGCCCCTCTTAAATCTTCCTCCTCGCTGCGGCTGGCGCTTACAATCGGCTTTTATCTTGCCTTTGTGGGATCACAAGATGTAAACGCTCCACAGCAGGACCACCCGGGTCTAATGCTCTTGCAGAATATTTACTCTTTGTTGTGATGTTTAGAGGCAGACGGGAGGATTTTGGTCACCTAAAGGGTGTTGATACGTGTCTCTAACGCATCTTTCCAGGGAAGGGAGCGTACAATAGCGGTTTACTCTGTTTTAAGATGCATACGGAAGATCATCCACAGATCAGTGCAAAAAGGGCTTGGGAAAAACATGATGGACAAATGGTGGAAAACAGGGCATAATTCATCCGTTTATATTTTTCTAAGAAGCTTATTTCCCTTAGCCAGGGACTGTTAGTTTGTCTAGGGGTCAGTTTAGAGAAAATAACAAGTTTTGATTGTTTCCTTGTAAAACAAATTCCAGACATCTTGCAGGTAAAAGAAACCACAGTGCGTTAGCTCGGCGGAGACCAGGCATCCCATGAGAGGTGGTTCCCGCTTGAATGCTAGAGCGCAGGCCTGGCTTCCAAAGTTGTGAATCTCAGGCAATCAAAAATCATGTTGGCCCGCCCAGGAATAATGAGACTGACTTAAAAATCAAAAGGAAAACGAAGAAATGCTGGGGTCCTCTTTATTTTCCTTCTGGTTTTCAAGCTTTTCTTTGCAGCCGTGAAGGCTAGAAATTAGGATAATACGGACTTCCTTTGTAAAGTGCTTTGAGATCTACTGATGAAAAGTATCAGGGGGTAGCCGTGTTAGTCTGTATCTACAAAAACAACAAGGAGTCTGGTGGCACCTTAAAGACTAACAGATTTATTTGGGCATAAGCTTTTGTGAGTAAAAACCTCACTTCTTCAGATGACAAGTGTTATACAATCTCTAGCTAGGTACATAAGAACGGCCATTCTGGGTCAGACCAAATTTCCATCTAGCCCAGTATCCTGTCTGCCGACAGTGGCCATTGCCAGGTGCCCCAGAGGGAATGAACAGAACAGGTGATCATAAAGTGATCCATCCCCTGTGACCCATTCCCAGGTTCTGGCAAACAGAGGCTAGCGACACCATCCCTGTCCACCTTGGCTAATAGCCACTGATGGACCTATCCTCCATGAATGTATCTAGTTCTTTTTTGAACCCTGTTATAGTCTTGGCTTTCACAACATCCTCTGGCAAGGAGTTCCACAGGTTGCCTGCGAAAAAAATACTTTTTGTTTATTTTAAATCAGGTAAACAAAGGTATTTGTTTTTTAAATGACAGTGGAGATTCTCTCACACAGTAGAGCCTCAGAGTAACGAACATGTCAGGAATGGAGGTTGGTTGTAACGTGGAACAAAACGTGATGGTTGTTCTTTCAAAAAGTTTATAACTGAACATTGACATAATACAGCTTTGAAACTTTACTATGCAGAAGAAACATGTTCCTTTCACTTTGTTAAATGTAAACTACTAAAAAATAAAGTACTGTATTTGCTGCCTTTTTTTTGTTTTGTCTCTGCTGATGCCTGATTGTGTATTTCTGGTTCCAAAGGAGGTGTGTGGTTGACCGGTCAGTCTGTAACTCTGGTATTCATAACTCCGAGGTTCTGTTGTAATGACATGACTCCAGAAGATGGGGTACACTTTTTTAAACCAAAACACCTCCTAATATCCCATGAGACTCACCAAAAAATCATGACAGTTGGCAGCACAGGGGTTCTAGAATTCCTGGGGTCCTTCCATCGCTCTCCGGCTGACCTTGCACAAGTCCCCATGCCTCAGTTTACCCCGTCTGTAAAAACAAGAATGGCAACACGGAAGTTTAAAAAGTATTGCTTATAAAACACGTTCTGGTCCTTTAGATGGAAAGCATTTTTGATAGGCGAAGAGGTTAATGCGTCTACTCAGCCCATGGAGTGAATCTCAAACAATATAATGTATGCAGTGAAAATTACCTCTCCAGGAACACAGCTATGACCTTCCACTTCTAATAATCTAGGAGGAATTCTGGAGCGGAGTCAGTTGTACATTGGCATTGTCTAACTTTAAGATTGTTTCTCAGAAGCAATTACGTGGCTTCCTGTTTCTTTTCCAGAATCTATGAGCCCTTAGATTTCCTTTTGTAAGAGATTCTGGGCCTTGATTCTAATTAATGTACAGTAATAATAATACTTACACCTCAGAGTGCTTTGCAAAGGGGGTCAGTAGCATTATCCCCCTTTTTACAGATGGGGAAACTGAGGCACAGAGCAAGACCGTGACTTGCCCGACCTCAGCCAGCAGGGCTCTTTGTGCCGCTTGGGCTTTATGTAGGGGCCCTAGACTGCTGCAGTTTAAAGGAACTCCTTTATGTGAATTGGAATCGGGGCCTCTGGTTTGTCAAGAGAAATGGGCCGGCCTGGGCAGGGAGACTCACAGAAGTCTTTGTCTCCGTCAGTGGAAACAGCAGGTGAGGACATCCTGGCAGCTAATGAGGTTGTTAATCAGCCCATTGAAGATCCAGGTGAGCCCTGCCCTGTAGCTGCAGGCTGTATTGATAATCAGAAAGGAGTGGCAGCTCTGTGCCTTTCAATGCTGATCGTGATTAGAACAGGTGACCAGAGACAGGTGCTTTCTGTCTCTCTCTCTTTTTGGCTGCTTTCTTCTTGAATTAATTTATTTCTAGTGGATATAGGGACATGGGAGGCCTGGAGTCTATCCCTGCCTCTGACACTGACCTGCTGTTTGACCGTGGGCGAGTCACTTCCCTGCTCTGTGCCTCAGTTTCCCCAGGGAACAGACTGTCTTTTGTGGGGTGTGTGTACAGAGGGATATGGTACATACCTAGTGGGTTAACAGCTAAAGTGCCAGTAGGTGGCGATCAGGAACATCCTAGGTTTTTTTCGGACCCAGAAAGCTTCCTCATGTGCATGGTAAATATTTCTGGTGGGCAGTTCTTGACGCCTACTATGCTAAACTAATAAAAATCACCCACTTAATGAGGTACCTGCTCCCTTCTGATCATGCTGCTAGAATGCAAGATGCCGAAGTTTAGCGCTGCCCCAGCGCCCTGCAAACCAGCCTCGCCCACCTCCTGTGCGTTAGGTCTTGTTAGGTGGATTGGACGCTCTTTGGGGGCAGGGACCCTGTTTTAGTTTTGTGTTCATACAGTGCCTTGCACCACGGGGGCCCTGCCTGCTCCGTGATGGGGGTTCCTAGATGTTACCGTGATGGGAATATTGTATACCCCCATTTCACAGCCGGGGAAGCAGTTTGCTCTAAATTCACAGAGCGTTGCGAAGAGGATTCAGGAGTCCTGACATGCTACGGGATTGCACTGGTGCACCTACCCCCATGGCTGCAACGGGGACGTATCCTCCCATGTAAATTAAAGCCTGAATGTGTGTCCTCCTTTCCGGCCTCTTCCCTTATCAACCTCTGAGCACCAGCCACTACTGGGCTTCCTAGGCTATTGTCCTGAGTGACTGTTGTCCCAGCAGTGAGCCAGGAAGCCCCTGTTGAGAGTGAACCTCCATCCCCGCCCCCCCACAGTGTGGATTGCAAGCTTCCCTTTGAATCCCATCAGCTGCTGATCTGCCCTTTGCTCCCAGTTTGCAACCCTCCCCCTTACATAGTTAAAACCACTCACGCTTTGTTGGGGTATTCCAGGAGAGATCTGAAGCAGGTTTTTCTGCCTGCATTTGAAAATCCAGTGGCCTGTTTGAGGCATTTGCCCTGGTCAGGTTCCTGGTTTGTGTACACTTGCTGCTAGACAGAGTATTTTCCCCCTCTCTTCCTGTTGGGTGGTGATAGCCAGTTGTTGTACTCCACCCCAGAAGAAGCTGCATTTCAGGCCAAAATGAGAGGTGAGCCATGAGCTCCTTATCCGTCTCAAGAGCTTTGCAAACTCTGCTATCTGAAGGCTGGGATTGCCAGTGCTTGTGCAGGTGTGCGCCATCAGAGCTCCTCGTAGGCCTAGCCCTCTCTGCCTCACTCTTCCATTGTTTGAGGACACCTTGGCTTGTAAAATGTAACTTGGTAAATGAGTGACTGCTGGGGGTGGGGGAGCAGCTAGACGATCGGATGCCAGTTAGACTCTGTTTTGTTTGCAATGCTACCCCCCACCAGCTGCTGGGTCAGGACTGGAACTTCCCCAAAGCCGGTGGGTTGTTCTGAGCTGGGGGCTGCAGACTGGATGGGTGCAGAGATTGGAAGTTGCTGTTTCAATTAGGGTGACCAGATGTCCCGATTCTTGGGTCTTTTTCTTGTATAGGCTCCTACTTACCCCCCCCCCCCCCGCCCTGACTCAGAGGCGTAGCGAGCGCCCTCTGAGCGGAGGGGGCCCCGCAAGGAAGGGGGCCCCTAAAAGTGGCAAAATAAATACCGCATTCCAGTTTCTGCATTGTAAGGGGCCCCGCCCGGACCTATGTTCGGAGGGGGCCACCGTTCGGAGGGGGCCACATTCTTTGTTGCTACGGCCCTGCCCTGACTTTTCACATTTGCTGTCTGGTCACCCACCTTAGTTTCAATCCAGGTCTCGGCCTAAACTCCTTGAAGAACTGGGGCGTGTGGTGGATCTGGGGAGGAGGTTGGGTTACGTGTGGGGGTGGTTGGGTTGTGTGTGTTGTTTTAAGCCCCCTTTTCAAGGCTTAAACCCCAGGAATGGTAAGATGGGCAGTGCTTTTTGTCAGCCCCCCAGCACCTTTGGCTTGGCAGTTCATAGCCCAGCACCTCTGGACTTGCTGCGTCTGTTATGAAAGCAAAACAAAATAGCTTGAACCCCGGCCCCTCTCTCGTGACAAATGAAGCCCTGAACAAGGGGAAGACCCTACTATAAACAAAACCACTAATAAGTAAATAAACCGGACAGGGGCGCCAGTTTGGGCTGGATGTCTTCCTGGAGGTTTCCTCGCGTGACATAAACTTTTAAAGATGAATCTTGAATTCCTAGAGATTCCAGGGAGGGTTGGCGACCTTCAACTCACCCCTGGTGGCCCCCGATCCCGAGGGAGCCGCCTTGTAAGCCCAGCTCTGATTCTGTTTGCCCAGGGCAGAGTTCAGGGGCTGGGCTCCTCCCTCGCTCTCACAAAGATCAGCTCAAGCGAGGCAGTTTCGGTAGCTTCCCCCACCCCATGGCCCCTGATGGGGGATTCCCTCCCCACCGCCGGCCCCACTCACCCCTCCCCGCGTGGGAGGCTCGGCCTCTCCGGGGCTGCTCGGAGGTGGGTGGGCGCTGGCCCCAGCCGGGCTCCGGAGAGGAGGAGACTGATTTGAATAAGCGAGCTGCGTTTCGAGCTCCGCGGCTCTTTGACTTCCTGCGCCGGAGCCGGGCTGAGGTCCCTGCTGCTAGCGCCGGCCGTCTGAACGCTCCGCTCCGCTCCGGGGGCCAATCCGGCTTTCCCGAGCCTGGGGCTCCGGACTATGTCTCGGATCCAATCGCTGGCCAGGACCAGGATTGACCGGACAAAGGACATCGCGTGGAAGGTCGGTGCCCTCCCCCCTCTGCACTATTTGGGGTTTCTGGGAAGGGGCCAAGGTGTGGGGGGTCGGGTCTGGGGGAGAGGGGGCAGCTGTGTGGGGCGCAGGGTGGGGGGGATCTGGGAGGAGAGGGGGCAGCTGTGTGGGGCGCAGGGTGGGGGGGATCTGGGAGGAGAGGGGGCAGCTGTGTGGTGGGGGGGGATCTGGGAGGAGAGGGGGCAGCTGTGTGGGGCGCAGGGTGGGGGGGATCTGGGAGGAGAGGGGGCAGTTGTTTGGGGCGCAGGGTAGGGGGATCGTGGGAGGAGAGGGAGCAGCTGTGTGGGGCG